AGAAGATTCTAGAACACTGACAGTTTTTTAAAAAAATGGTTGGTGTTATGATTCTAATGATAAATGTCCCTGAAGGCATCCATGTTAAGGGCTACTAGTTTTAACTGGTTACTAGTCTGTGCCACTGCTAGGACTTGATGGGACCTTTAGGAGCTGGCACAAAGAAAGGAAGTTAGGTCATTAAAGGCACGTTCATGAAGGGGACACTCGGACTGTACCTCTTTGCTTCCTCTCTGTTTCCCAGCACCCGGTAAAATGGTGTAATGCCGTTTGGATGAGATTAAAATGTTAAGCAATTTGTACATGACAAATACACACATTATATTGAAGGTCGCTCTTTACTTAATCAATTTATGGATCTCTCTCTCTCTCTCTCTCTCTCTCTCTCTCTCTCTCTCTCTCTCTCCTGTCATAAAATATACAAAGCGATGCCATGGAGTGGCCTCAAACAATAGATACCTATTGTTGTTATTGCTCCCCTGTTCCCTGTATTTATTTCTTATTCTGGCTACAGTTGTAAAATAAAAAAATTTAGAAAAAAATAGCTTATTCACGCTGTGGTCTGAATATAAAATACCTTCCCCTGGCTCAGGTAGCTTAGTCTCCCGGCTGGTGGAGCTATTCTGTGAGGATCTGGAAAGTGTGGGGGGCAGGACTGGGCTGGAGGAGGTAGGTTACTGGGGCATGCTGTTGGAAGCTGTATCTTGTCTGATGGCCTTTTTGTTATGGGCACTTCTTCCTGTCTACCATGAGGTTAGCTTGGGCCACATTCTCCTCCCTCCATGATGTAAATGTGTCTTCACCACCACGCCCTTCTTACAGGATGGACAAAACCATCCCACACCACACTTCGTATTAAAAAAATATTTATTTTGGCTAGCCCATATAAAAGACATAAAAGCCTGATATTTGACTTACAAGCCATCAGCCTAGGCTGGGCAGGTTTTGAGCTACCCTCACCTGTACCCAATCCATATGTCACTTGTCACTTGCTGTTTGAGGCTCTTGCTGTCTGAGCTGCTTTTGCTCTGCCAGTCTGTGCTCAGGGCACACTTCTCTAGAGAGCCAAACGCTCCTGGTCCATCTGACTAGTGAAGACCTCCTGTTCTCTCTGCCTTCTTTCTCCTTCTCTTTTGTGGTCTCTCCTGAGCCCCCATCATTCAACCCTCTAGTCCCGCCTTTTTCTCTCTACTGTCCAATCACAGGCTCTAGCCTTTTATCAACCAATTTACTTTAAATTAGGGAGCAGGTTTGTATAACAAAGGCTGGTGTGGATTCAACCAGATCTTGGCATTTAGAATTTATCATTTGTATACATCAACACCCAACACACCATGGATCGGCAGGAGCGATTCCTAATGTATGTGCTTTCTCACCGTGATGAGAAAAATAATACAGCTATTAAAACAGTTGTCAAGCATGTTTATGTCAGTTGTGTGTGTTACTGATACCGCCGTGTAATAGAATTAAGTTTGCTTAATTTATAAAATATCTTTGTGGCTTTTATATGAAAACAGAATTGGATGTGCATGATAAAAATCTGTTAATTACAGAGAGGAAAATCAAAAGTTGGGTAAAGTGGGGCAGGAAAGACAGCTCAGAAGATAAGAGCACACACTGCTTTCCCAGAGAACTGGGATTTGGGTTCCCACACCCACATCAGTGGTCTCACAACTCCTTCTAACTCTACCAAAAGGGGATCTGATTCTTTCATTTCCCCAATTATGGACACCTGCACATGTACACACACATACACACACACACACACACACACACACGCACAAATACACATAAACACACAAAGCTGAAAAATTAAAACAGGTCTTTAAAAGCTAGGAAAAGTAAACCATAAGGTTGTTTTAAATTATTTAACTTTTACCCTATTAAAATAAATCACTATTTCACTTTTCACCCTTTACATGACAATAACATTTTTAAAGGTAGAAGAAAAGATCTTAAAGGTTTTTGTTATAAACTAATGGTTAATATTTGAGGAAGCAGGTATGTTTAAATTGATCTAAATAATTTATAACGTGTCCCTAGATCCAAACATGATGTTACTTCATTTTCTGTATCAGTTAAATATATTTATCTTCAAGAGGAAAAAATTCAAACAAAAGTGGAAAGTGTTATAGTTTGAATATTAACTATCTTCTCTGACAGTCTTAGACACTGAAGGACCCACCAGGTGGCACAGGGGCAGCAACTTCACCAGTGGATTAAAACACTGGTGAATTCAGACCAAGTCAGCCTTCAGGAGGTTGAGTCTGGTTAGGAAAAGTATTTCACCAGAATGGCTTGAAGGGGACTCTCTCTGTTCTTTCTGTTTTTGTCTTTGCTCATTGCTGTCAGGTGAGTAGCATGGATCCACCATGCCTTTCGGCAGCTGTGACAACCTCACCATAGTCCAGAAATAACCCAGCCAACAAGCTGACCATGGACAGAAACCAAGAGTGATCATCAATCCTTCCTGTGTCAGGTTGTTCTTGTTATCAGGTATTCTGTGGCCGTGGCAGGAGGATGACAACCACAGGAGATTGGTGCTCAGAAGTAAAGTAGTTTTGTATCTTTTTCACTGTGCAGTGTCTAACTTTGGAAAAGATTTGTGGGAGGAATTTGGAAAAGTTTGGAGAAAAGGCTTTAAGAAACAAAGCAGCTTAAAATTTTTTAAAGAGAATATTCTAGGCAGTTTGGGGGAGAGTTCTGAAGAAGAAATGGTAGTGGGTTTATTAACAATTGCTTGTGAGGTTTCAGATGGACTTGAGGACCCTCTTGGATGGGGGACTGGATATTACACTCAGGCAAAGAACACGTCTGCACTTTTTCCCCCATGTCTTGATACTTTGTGAGATGCCAAATTTAAAGTTATAGACTAATCCAATGGGGTACATTTTGAGGTAGCACAGAATTTAGACTCACAAGGACATTGCTCACTGCTTTTATTTGGACTTACAGTGAGAATCAGGAGGAGATGCCAGAGCAGTTGGCTCTGAACAGCTTAGAGTTTAAGTTTAAAACAAAACAACAACAACAACAACAACAGGGGGGAGGTGGGGAGCTCTTTAAGGCTGAAAGTATAGTGAGCTTGCTGAGGAGACTCACACCAGAACAAGCAGCCAAGTACTCTGCCCTGGGACAACAAAGATGCTTGGGTGGCATCTCAGGAAGGAGGCAGTTCCCATCCATCAGTGGCTCAAGGGCATAAAAATGTAAAGCCTTTGAAAGAATTTGATGGCAGATCACTCAAGGGAACCTTTCATGCACAGGCTGCCAAGGAAAGTGTTTCTCTGAGCTCCGCTAACAAACACTCAGAAGCTGCTGCAGCTGCACTCCACGTGGGTCTAGTCACTGCTCACGGTGGCCAGGAACCTTCATGCCATTCTGTGACGCTGATTCTGCTGCTTTGAATCTCAGAAGAGAACGAACTTGGGCTTTTGGGCAATGCTAGCTAGTGTTTTTTCAGACTTTGGGAGTTCTTAGAGACAAGACTAAATGCACTTTGCATCTTGAGTTGGCTACGGGTTCTTTGGAAGTCAGAAGTGGTATGCTTGGTTTTGGAATCTGACATGGTAGCTCCAGGCTCCTGTGTGTTGAAGGCGTGGACCTCAGCTAGTAGAAGGACTGAGAGGTAATCGAGTCATGACAGTACTAATACTAATTATGGGTTCATCCTTTGATGAGTTAATAATACCTGAACCATCAGGAAGTGAAGCTCAGTGTACGAAACAGAACACCAAGTCAGTCTTTGGAGGCTATAACTTGTGCCTGGCCCCTTCTCATTTGCATTCTTGATTCTTCACTGCCATGAGGTGGGCAACTTAATTTCTCCCCACCCCTTTGCCATGAGGCTTCACCTGACACTGGGGCCAGGCCACCACAAATGAAGACCTCTAAAACCATGAGTTCAAATACATCCTCCCTTCAGTTGTTTTAATTAGACATTTGGTCTCAGAAATGAAAAGCCAACACTGAAGCAGCAAACTATATATTGTAGGTATAGTTTAGGGGAACAAATTATAATCTAAGACTTGAGGCTGTAATCCCTAGAACCACATTCATAGGATGGGCCTTAACTTTATTGTAAGATTGGCAAAATCTTTTAAATGAAACTGTTATGATACAGATTTCTAAACTTTCTGTATTTGTGAGTTAGTAAGCGTGTAGTTAGTAATCGTAGTAAGTGGGCTGTTCAGTTAGTTCCATGATTGCGTGCAATTTATAGAGCATATACTGCAGGGCTATGAAAGTCATACTCCTTGCATCACTGGTAGCAGTGCCTGTGACATGTCTCAAATAAGAATACACGACTCCACCTGGAGACAACGCCCAGGGTATGTGTGTTTCCAAAGCACTCCAGGAGACTGAGGTACACCAGGGTCTGAGAAGCATTGCTCACATGTTACTCCTTACACAGAAGCTCCTAGGATGGATCTGACCTTTACAAATCATGGGACAGAATGTGGGAAGAATCTCAGAGCTTCCTTTTTATTGTCATCCTGTAAACCTGGTTTAAGAGAGGGTCTCTAAAGAAATAATTCAAAGGAAGGCACAATTCTAAATAAAACCATGAACTCTAAGTAAAGTCAGGAAGTAGGAGACTACTACCTATGCTACTTAAATCACTGAAATAACAAAGAAAAGCATTAAGAGTTTATAAACTAGCTAAATATAGAGTTAAAAATGCAGCATTCACCATGGTTATGTGCTACAAGTATTAACAAACTCTTGGAAAGGACCAGTTCCATTGCCTTAGCGTGGTATTCAAATTTAAAATTGTCTTAATATAATTTTTATAAAAACTATCTTAGTTATAAAACTTGAAAGCATCATTTAAATTCCGCTCAACACTCAGTGCATAACTCAAAGACTCTTACAACTATATAAAACACCGCTGTGACATTATTAGCCAGCTGCTACATGAAAAGCATCGAGATTTATGATCTTTTTGACAGACAGGCTGTTAGAAAAGTCAGCCTTATGAGCAAGGATGCTGTCAATACCTGAGTTATCTTCATCTTTTCGGATTTTGAGCTTCACCAGGTCTTCACACTGCTGGAGGATCTGGACGGCATCTTCCATGGAGCAGTTGTCCAGCCGGATGTTATCTATTGCAAGTAGTTTATCTCCGAGCTCCAGAGTTCCCGTTCTGTTGACAAGTGCACAGCATCACACGAGTCAGGGTGAATACTTACTCAGACCATTTCAAGAGGCAGTGGGCATAGTAGTGTGTTCACATCACCATCAGGACCAAAGCTCTTAAGCTGTTTGAAAATTGTACTTTATTGACAAGCACCTATAATTTTTCCCACTCTTATTTGAGATGGATGCTATGCGGCTAAATTGTATATTATTAAAACATTTTCCTTGGGGGCTGGAGAGATGGCTCAGTGGTTAAGAGCACTGACTGCTCTTCCAGAGGTCCTGAGTTCAATTCCCAGCAACCACATGGTGACTCACAACCATCTGTAATGGGATCCGATGCCCTCTTCTGGTGTGTCTGAAGACAGCAACAGTGACAGTGGACTCATATAAATAAAATAAATAAATATTAAAAAAAACAAAAAAAAACATTTTCCTTATGTTTTCTTCAATTTAACCTAAGCATTTACTCAGGAAGTCTAGAGCTCCTTACGGGGTACGGGGTACCAGAGACCCAAATATCCTAGTGTTCCTCTCAACCTTGATACACATCAGTGATGTAGCCTCAGCTCTGAGGAGAGAGACACAGGATGAAAAAAAAGGCAAGACAGCTCAGGGTCACTGAGAACTGAGGTCACTGAGAACTGAGGTCTACGATATTGGCTCTTTCTTCAGGTACCCAGAAACTTGCTGTGGATTGAGAAGGGGACGAATCTGACATCACTATTTGGAAAATGGCCTCAGAGAGTCCCATGATGCTTCTGGACCAATTGCAGCTCTGTTGAAAGTCTTAAAGATTCATACAACTATAACATGAATGAGACTAGACTACATATGTTTTTGGTGTAGGACTCTCCTTTATGTATTATGTCTAGGTTAGAGTCTACTAATTGTGTCCTAATATTCAATCTATTCTTCTTCTGGATCACCTATGATAGATAATACAGGCTCTCTTAGCATCCCTCAATCCCTTCCCATCTATGGATAGGAGATAGGGATGGCAAGTAGGTAGGATGGATTCTTTGCACACTTTCCACATGAAAACCAAATGTCTATTCTCTGACACATGATACTAGTAAGTTTCAACACAGCTGTGTCTATGTCATGTACCTTACACTCCTACAATGCCCTCCGTACCTTTTGAGGGTTAGGTTAGAATTTCGTTAATGGCACATTCCTTTATGATGACAGGTAGGGTTTTTAAAGGTCTTTATTTGAAAAAGAAGAGGAAAGTTAACAATATTATATTGGTATGCTGATTACTTAAGATGTACTTTTATCTGTGAAATAAAAAATACAAGACTGTCTCCTTTAGAAGTATGGTAGCCAAGGAGGAGACTGTTCTGGTTAGCTTTAATGGTGGGTTTGATATAGCCAAGAGTCTTGTAAGAAAGAAGTAACAGTCAAGAGACCGTCCAGATCAGGCCTTCCTGTGGATATGTCTATGATGGATTCCCAATTGTTAATTGGTTTAGGAGGGTCCAGCCTACTGTGAGTAGCATCATTCCCTAGGCACATAGTTTTGGGCTGTATAAGAAAACTAGCTAAGCATGAGGCTGTGAGTGAGCTAGCAAGCATCTCTTGGCTGTGAGTTCTCTGGTTAGAAGTGATGCTTCACAGAAGCTAGTGGGTACACCTCTCAAGTTCCTGCTTGAGGCTCTACCCCGACTCCCTCCATAAGGGACTATGATCTGGAAGTACTAACCAAATAAATCCTTTCTTCCCCTAAGTTGCTTTTGGTCAGACTTTGTTTTTGTTCTTAAATCACATCAACAGAAAGGAAATTAGAACAAGAATATAAACATTAACTGTGGTTTCTAAAGTCTTACTTGTCCAAAGGGGACAGGATGGCAGAGCCATCCCACAAGCTAATTGTGTTGGAGAGGTCCTGCTCAGAACCGGGTAACTTTTGAGGTTTCACCAGAAAATGAAAGATGGAAGAAAGTGAGGAAAACTCTCATGCTGAGCTTATAAAATACCCCTACAAATCACTCTTAGCTATAGAGCACAGAAGTACACTGACAGAAGGAACAGGAAAATGAGAAAACGCACACTCCTTACCTGTGCGCCACACTGCCTTTCTTGATATCTGAGATGACAAGAGGGTCCCCTGGTTTTCGACTGGATGGCGCTGTAAGAAGAAGACAGAGTGAGCGAGCAATCACATCTTATATCCAGGACTCATCAGAGACTGTCTGTTCCCTCCTACCTGACAGTAACTTTCAACACCAGTAAGAGTGTGTATGTAAATCACAACCAAACAGCAAGATACTCATGTAGAAGGGACTATTTAAATATGCAATTGCAGAGAACAGTTGGAGGGCTGATCACTGGGTTGACACCAGCTCAGGTCAGTGACCTGAAAGGTTGGCTTCTCAAGAGGAGAATAATGAAATCAATTTAAACTAGCTAGCTTGGTTATACTGAAGGCGAACCTCTCTCTCACCCCTTCCCCCATGCCTCTCTATCAAGGAGGAACCACTGTTGACTGGTGTTCATCACGTGACAGAAGGGCACTGGGAAGGGCACAGGGCAGTAAGGACAGCTTTAAAGTTCATGTTTTCCAGAAGGGATTATTTTGGTGGGCAAGCTACATAAGTATTTCTGTTCTATTCACAAATTCATACCTAGAAAGCTCTACCGTGTTTTGGGTTGCGAGTGCTTACTTTGTTACTATAGTAAATATTTTATTAGTTAACCAAACGCATGCATGTATATATATTTATTCTAAGCATACACAGATAGCCCCTATTAAACTGCACATAAAATTATTATCAGTCACAGTGGCCTTTTATAATTTGGGGGTAGTACATCCATTTGATAAGAATAAAGAAAAAACATTTTAAAGGAAACTTTCTTGGCATTAACTCAGGCTATGAGTTAGATAGCACAGGGCATCACAAAGAAACCATCCTTGTTTACAAAGAGTGGATTTCATTTAGGATATCAACGTTGGTGTAAAAGACTAGTGGCCTCTGAGAGAAGATGTTTTGCCAACCTGAAGCTTGCAGTGATTTCCTTCCTGAGAATATCAAGAGGCCCCCAAAGTAAGATTTTATTATAAACAGACTAATCATTCCATAACAATCACAGAACCATATCACATCCCATAATACCATCTGAATCCCAGAAAAGTGTTTATGCATAAGAACAGATGGTTTAACAGCTCAGCATCACATTTAAAGGAAAAATCAACACCCCCAATACCTTCCCTGCTATCGCAATTAGTCCTGAGTAAATGTTAATGAGATTTCTCTTAATCACTACCCTCAGCTCACAGCGAAGAATGCAGAACAGTTTATTCACTACAATTAGTTCATTATTTAAACCTTTGCTCAATGATTTGATGTGACTTTACCCGTAGACACAAACATCTACCAGTTCTACTCATGTCATATTCTAAAGTAAAGTTAGTTCTGGGCATGCACGCATGCACACGCACACACACACACACGCACACACACACACACACACACACACACGCGCACGCACACACAAATAAATAATTCTTTATTAGATAAAAGCATTATTCTTCTATTATCTGTCAATGAATTTGCACAGTATTTTGCCAACCTGTAATTACCATCATAACACGTGCAAGAAGTTTTGTTTTTTAATTAGAAAGGTCCGTATTCTTCTGAAACGCTCCACGGAAAACCAGCAATAGTAGAAGCAAGTAGATACATCAAACTCTCCCCTTTTTTGCAAGAGAAGAAGATGGTATCATGACGTTATGGTGTCTTTATCAGGCACACAGATATGGCAGCAAATCCTCGAGCAGTTAGTAGCTGTTTCCGTACCATACCACAATGCCAAATTCTTCTTTGCCTTGAAAATACCAAGCCAAGCATATGCTTCTAGGCTCACTGGGCTCTCAAACCTACCAAGCAGGTCACTACTATGAATTATTTATAGAGTTTATACAGATACACAGCTTTGGTAATAGAAAAACAGAAGGACAATGCAGCGTAATGATTAAGAAATGACATCTTATTATCATAATGGTTGGAGCTGAAGCCCTGACTCTAACACTTCTAGGCTGATTGCTTGGGGACAAAGTCCTTAGGTGCCTCATCTATGCAACATATGACAAAGTGTCACAATCTTTACCTGAGAGTCTCTGTCGAGAGCATTATGAGATCATCACAGACAAAGTGGTTAGATCCATACACACAGGTGCCGTGTCTGTAGAAGGACTTGTTGTTATCACTATCCAGTCACACTGAACTCACTTCCCCTCTCCAGTATTTACATGGGACCTTCCATTTGTCACAATCTTGATTTTTCGGATCTTACTCAGACACGTGACTCTTGACTAAAGAGTAACACGTTGTCGCTTGACGCTTTGGGTCTGATTGGAATCGTCTGCAAAGCCATGCACTTACTTAGCACAGATTTCCAGAACACCAACTATGAGCTAAGCATTTCTGCACTGGGTTCTGGCCATGAAATCTCAGAGCAACCGGTTTAAACAGAACTCCTTACATCTCACGAGGTCATGAGAAATGAGACAGTGTTCTCTCTTCAGAGATGTCACTGCTACTGAAGTAGCCATCCCAGCGTGCCATTGGATGGGGGCAGGTGGTGACCTACAGCAAATGAGGTCAAGAGGGTGACTTACGAAGGAAGAGCAAAGACTAAGATCTGACAACCACAGACAGACAATAGTACATCCTTGAAATCTCAATGCAACTGGCCAAATAGACAGATCTGAAAGGGGGAAGGAGACTGACATTGTGAAACTGTGTGCGACACTATGGAGGTTAAACTCAGTAGTGCCTTGTTTCAATTTATGCTTAGCCAAACTAATTTTAACTCAAAATCCACTTGTGTCTCTAATGTCACCGTTAAGGCACACAGGCAGTGACACATGTGTCATCTATAAGAGTGCTTGGGACTCACCACAATCATCTATTTATGTAGCATTACAAAGTTGGTATTTTTGTGTTTCCCATAAGTATATATTCTTGAACCTCACAAGGAAACACTGTAATGCTTTTCAGAATGTATGTAAATGTTTTCAGTTTGTGTGTGTGTGTCTATGTGTCTGTGTGTCTATGTGAAGGCCAGAGGACAAACTCATGTATCACTGTTAGTTATGCCAAGTACCTACCTATTTTGAGAGGGTCTCATACTGACCTGGTGCTAACCAATTTAAATAAACTGGCTAACCAGGAAACTCCAAGGATCTCCCTGTCTCCATCTCTCTGGTGCTGGGATTATAGGTGCATGATGTTATAGCCCTGATTTTTGGTTGGATTCTAAGTATGGAGCTTGGACTCTCATGCCTAAAAGTCTAGCATTTAATAACTGAGCCATCTTGACAGCTCTTACTTTTCACCTGTGACCAAAGTTTGAGTTCATACAATTTGGTTGGAAATTGTGCAGAAGTCTTCAATTTCCCGTTTCCCCAGATGCAAATAGAGATGATTCCTGCCCTTAAGGTGATTCATTTGAGATTTGATAGTGTGAGGCAATTTCTTTCAGTAGAAGCCATACTTGAGTTTTGATATGCGATGCTAGCAACATGTGGCATAGCCGTCTCGTGATACTGTGCAAGGGTAGCAAGCCATAGCTTCCCGTTGGTCCTGAGTTTGCAGATAAACACTACATTGTGTAGTGTATTGTTATGTTGTATGAATAGTTTCCATCCACAATCAGTTTACTGGGGGACATATCTCTGCATTCATCCGAGGAACACACACGTTAAAGTTTGGTTGATCCCACTTGTGAAATAACATATAATGTTACTGTTTAATTTTTCAGTCTTAGCCATTCTCTCTTTATATTGTATTATGAACCATGGGGGTTGTTCTCTTCCTTGCTAGACCAGGACCACATCCATGTATCTTTCTCACCTCCCCATTCTTTCAACATAGTTTATTACAAATAATCTTTGCAAGATCAGTACTTGCTATTCACTTTAGCATGCCTGTGTCAACAGTGCCCGTGAACAAGTCAGAGAGCATCCAATTTCTATCTTTTCCTGCAGAATTCAGTTACATTCCCTTATTCTACAGGCTTATTAGCTCCTGCTTTTGAAGATATAAGCTCAAAGCTTCTGAGAGTTCTTTTGGTGAGACACTTGATTTCACTGAGTAGGGGGAGGTACCTCACAGACTAATTCATTCATTCTTAGCTTTCAGCTAATCCCACTGTCTGAGCTATATCCCCATTCTTACACACCCCAAGTTCTGAATGCCTCCAATGCTTGAGGCATTTGGAAATATAAGGCATATTGAGGTTCCTTGTCAGAGTTTTCCTTTTCTTGATCTTTATCTAGGATTTGACCATTGAAAAACCTCACATTTTCTCATGTCAAGATAGCATGTGATCTCCCTCCATCGTTCAATCTCAGAAGTGTTAAAACCATCATTTGCCCTCACTGGGAAAAGCTTATTTATGTAGGAAAGATGAACATTTTAGGGGCTTGTCACACAGCCCCTCTTTGTGACTTTATGGAAAACGACAACTAAGTTTTGTTACTGCAATGAATTCAGTCCCATCAAAAAGGTCAGGTCATTAACCACCTGCATAGAATACTGCCTTTTGATTTTCTGATCTAAGCTCTGGGAGGGTTCCTCAAATCAGACGGTGACAGGGCTGAACCGTATGGGGACAGGAAAGCCAGAGCTTGGGCTGACAGAATATGTTGGTGTTGAGATGTTTGTTTTGCCTTATATTAGGCTTTGGGTCTTTGGGTAGTTACACCTAACCACACCATTTCATTCTGTAAAATGGGCCATCACAGGGCTTCCGTGAGGATTAAGAAAGGAAATATACATCATCACAGAGTGCCATGTGTAGGTTAGGAGGGACAAATCCCTGTTGCAGAGCTCAACAGACATGTCAACGTCAGCATGTCCCAAGGAACAAGGACACACAAGGCAGAGACAACCAAAGTTCTCTGACTTGACAGGCAGGTAGGTGTCTTTGTTGGAAGATAGGAGCTGTGATTCTGGACAGGTTAGGGTGGGCGGGCACAAGGGTGTGGCTGTCTCTGTTAGTTTACCTACTTCAACTTCTGTGATAAATCATCCTGTATTATCATAACATCAATGAAAGCAACATCTGGCTCTAATGTGCTGTGAATATTTTATCAAGAGCCCATGAAAAATTGGCCTGAAACTGCTCACCCCATCCAAATTCAGAGGTGCACATTTTTTTTTTTACTCTGCTAGGTCTGGAGTGTAGCTGGACACACTGAGGCCTTGCATGCCTTTGATGATGGAGGGCTACTTCCAAACACAGAGGGGTAAAACGGAGGAAAGCGGATTTTGAACAAAGATGGTGAGAAACTTCTGTGAGCCATGCAGGGCCTCAGCCTCACTCAGAGCCCGCGTGTGTTTGATGAGAAGGTGCTTCCTTTTCCTGCCAATACACTATAATTGTAGTGGACACTAGATTAAAAAACTATATTTTAAACGTTTATTCTTTGAGAGTCGCATATTATATATTTTGGGGTGAGCATTAGATTTTTGTTATCTAGAGATTGGTTAAAAGCATTTCACAAGGTTTTGAGTAAAGTCCTGAATGATCACCACCTTATACGAGCTGAGATTTTGCAATGTGTTTTGGTAATTAATATATATGTATATATGAACACATATGTATATATATATTCATATATGTACACATATGCATGCATGTGTATATATGCATATGAATACATTGTATATGTATAGATATACATATATGTATGAGAACACATGTACATATGTATATATTCATAGATGTACACATATACATGCATGCATATGTGTATACATATGCATATGTATACATTGTATATGTATAGATACATGTATATGCACACAAAGACATGTACATATGTATATATTCATAGATGTACACATATATGTATGCATATGTATGTATATATATGCACACATGTATACATCGTATATGTATAGACATATACATATATGCATTTAATATGTGTATCCCTTTACAGAGAGGGGGTACTTGGGTCTCTTGGTTCTTGCTCTCAAGCATTTTCTAAATCTTTAATACATGCAATAGTCTGTGTCTTCACAATCTTATTCATCCATCCGCACAATGGATGTGAGCATTGAATGAGTATCTGTGTGTGCTGGGATCTGAGGGAGGCCTTCAGGAGTTTACACTCTCATTGTGGTGAATCCAATTCCCGGCTGGCCTTTTTGTTCTTGTTTTTCTTTTGTAGGAGATTCTGTTTCCTTGACTTGCAAATGAATCATATTTTCCAGGAGGAAACACACACAGTATTGTGATGATCGCTTGTCTAAGTGCGGTTAGAGCTCTGAGAGGTGATACCTGTGTGTGAGAATGTGTGTATCCCTGCCCCACCTGGAGCAGAGCAACACTCACGCTTCACAAAGTACAGCAGCTTGTGGCGGGCTGAGACTCAAGACCTTCTTGTAGCAACTTGTGAGTGTTTACACTGTCGACATTAAAACAGTTTTGACACAACCCAGCTGGTGAGTGGGAGTCCTCTAGACACCTTCTCCTCATGAGTGTCTATTACAACCAAAATCGCTTCCATCTCAAAATTTACTTAAGAAACTGTCTTCTTTTCCTTTGATTATTTAATATAAACAGATACTCTTAAAATTTATAGAAGTAAAAATTTAGTTTGTCCAATATCCATAAAAATTGAGGGCTGAGGAGATACTCCATAAAGTGCTTGCCCCTAAGGCAGCATGATTTTGATCCCAGAACCAACATACAAAAGTCAGGCATGGTAACAGGCACTTATATTACCCACACTGGGCAAGTGGAAACAGGCGGTGTGGGGGCTCACTGGCCAGCCCATGTAGTCAATTGGCAAATTCCAGACTGTTAAGAGACTGGTTTTCAAAAAACATAGAGGACAGCTCCTGTGAAACGTCATCCAAAGTTTCCTTCTGCTTTATACATTCATGACATGCACACAGACACACACACCTGTACAATTCACAGACATACAGCTATTCATTGGACTTGGGATATCATTCATTCACAACTACAACATATTTGTTTTATTCACATGCTGTGTCATATCCTACACACATGTGCTTCACGGTGATGTTTTATAGATATGTCCTAAGTGCTCCTGCATTGTGTCTTTCTACTTCTTTCTCAGAAGGCTACTAGGGTAACGGGGGAGAGGAGAGACCATCTCAGATACATGGTATCTTATTCTTCGCAGAGGCTATGAGATACAATCACACTCATTTTAGTATAGCAGCAGATATGTGTGGCTTTTCATTATAAATGAAAGTGCAGCCTTAGTGTTAAATTTATATCATTAAAGTTGAGTTGGACAGCCCTATTTCATATTTGTCAATCAAGGACTCCTTTTCTTTACTTTGGCCATAACCACTGACATAAACTCGCCCGAGCAGTGTGTTGGGGCATTTTTATACCGTCTCATCATTCTTTCTTGAAGGGACGGCCTTGTGGTCAGAGTCCCTGCTTCTGTGACTCCACTGGTCCTTATGTACTGACCATTTGCTTCATGTGCATGGGGACATGCATTGATAAACTCAGTTTATGGACACTAGAAGAATAAAATAATCTCTAAGAAGTTTCTATCCTGTTCTATAGAGGTTCACTGAGGTTGAAATTTTCAAAGTTGGTTAATCAAGGCAGTAATAAAACTTGATCCTTGGGGAGGAAAAGAATTAAGCCCACTTATATTCTACACTTTTTATTTTGGTTTGGTTATCCAGACCAGGTATCGTGAGTAACTCAGGGATTTACTTAAAGGCATTGTTTGAGACTTCTGATTACAAGATATAGAGTATCTCTAATTGGGTTGTATCTGTAATGGGTTACAGATACATTGTAGACTCAAAGAGAGTCCTAGGAATACATAAAAGGATTTTTGAATTAGATTATTGTTTCTTGTCTTCATTAGACAACAGTATAGGTCACAAAAATATAGAGAGAACCCATCTGTATATTTCTGTTCATCTAACTATTCATCTAATAATTTATATATTAGCATGTGAGAAATAATAGAAACTTTCTAGGCAGCATACAAAGTACATAGATGCTATTTTACTTAAGGCTTGGCCCTATACTTCATAGAAATCTTGCTTCTGTTTATATTCTGTTTTTGTTTCTCCCTCTCTCTCCTCTTCTCTCTCTGTATCTCTCTGTGTCTGTCTGTCTGTCTGTCTGTCTATCTCTCTGTATGTGTGTGCATGTTTGTACACATGCTTGTGAAAGCCAGAGGTTGACATCAGATATCATCTTCAACCACTTTCTATATATTTTTTGAGTCAGAATCACTCACTGAAGTCGGAGTTCACTGATCTAGCCAGACTTTCTGGACAGCAAGACTAAGAGCTTCTCCTGTCTCAAGCTCCTCAATACTGAGATTATCAACGTGTGCTTCTGTGCCCAGCTCTTTCCATAGATGCTTGGGCTTTTTACTAAGATCCTTATGCTTACATAGCAAGCACTTGACTAGCTAAGCTCTCTTCTGAGCCTTCATGTCCATTTTACAGAAAGAGAAATACAACAGCAGAGAGGACTTGAAGTATCTTATTTCCCTCACAAGACTATCAGGTGCTGGCTGTACACCTGGCTCCAAAGCTTCATATGGTAACCTTGAAACTGTAAAACATTCACCACACATGTTAACCTGTTGGCAACAGAATCCTACAGCATCCTTGAATTCTATGATTTAAGAGAAGCCCATTCTACTTACAACTGATGGTTATTCCAAGTTCCACGCTGTGCTTCTTAGGCAGTTTTACATGAAATGTTCCACTACTTGGGATGACAGACTCTGTAATTTCAAAACAGAAAAAAAATGTTTAGAGAACACAGAGGACTCTGGGTATTGGAACAGTCTTTCAAATTAAAACATTTCCATCCTGGAGATGGATGGAGTCATTAAGACTCAGGAATTTCTAATTTAAACATTCCACTACAGGGGAAAGATCCTTTAGATTCAGAGGTAAACAACTCACAAGTCTTAGGAAGTCCCTAAAGCTTATAAGACTACCAAGGCCTTGTGACTCCTAAGATTATCTAAATAGTAAGAACTTCTTGGGAGACAGAAGACAGAAGACAGATCAGAGCTGTTGAGCTGTGTAAATGTTGTAAAGTGAGGTCCAGTGTTAGAACTTGCATGAGTTGATACCATGCTGGGATGGTAGGCTTTTCAGTGATTAGCTGTTTTAGAGTTGACTGTGTTCCTGTAAGTAACACCCATACTCCCAGAGGTAATCACAATAAATTCATTAGTTTTTTCAACTTGGACTTCCATAGATCATTGTGGACTCTATCGCTGGTACCCTATCTGGGATTTGTAACTGTGACTTTCTGAGGCCATTAGGATCTTTACTTCAACTCCCTGGCGACTGTGATGCTGGGGTCCTCAGATCTGTACCTTTCTGACTGAGACCCTCAACACCTCCACGACTTTCACTGACAAGCAGCTGCACCTTCACACCTCCACCTCAGATCTCTAGCTGGCAGTCAGTCAGAGGCTCTTCTGTCACCAATTGTCATTTCCTGCCTGAGTAGGACTACTTCACATGACATATAATTCTTTGTCAAGAGTGTGGGATGAATTCAGCCACAACTCTAGAGAAGCACCCCTCATCCAAGACCCCCATAACAGTATGGAGAGCAAAGGAGACAGCAGAAGAGGATTGTGGGATAAGTAAACTAACCCCTTCTTACTGCTTCATGAATTTCACCAAAGCCTAGCTCACTCTCCAATAGGGGAGGAAGCTCTAACTACAAAGACTGGGATGCAGGTGGAACAGTTGGGCCCTCAGGCACCTAGTCCCACTGTTCACTGTGTATGTGTGTAACAAATTTTGTACAGCTGCACAGCAGAGGCAGAAGTTAGGACTGGGCTCACGGAAGAAAGTTAAGAGTCCTCCTTTTCTCATTCTGCCTTAAATTGTTCTTGGCCTTTTGTCCTTTCCCTTGAGAAGTTTAAGCAGTAAACTTTTTACAAGCCCAGAATCTGAGCTTCCAATTTGGAAGGTTCACCGCAGAGTGTTAAGCTAGAGAACACAATAAAAATTTGATTTCCCTCAGCCCCTCCAGGCTGCTAGAAAGTCACCTGTAAAAAAGACCCCCAAATTGCCCATCTGTTTCAGTGGCACAACACGACCTTTCCTCCTGGCATCCTCCTTCCTTTGTTCGGGCTTCAGAGGGGTGAGCGAATCTGCTGACATCTCTGGTTCCTCTAGGTCTCTGTAAATCTCTCTGGGACCAGGCCAGAGTCAGAGACTGACTTAATATATTGCCTTTGGTTCTTCTCAACGAAGACTTGGAAGGCCCAGGAAGTGAACCTGCATATATTTCCTTATTTATCTATTAAGAATTTGTATGTTTCCCATTTTCTGATGTTAAAGTATCAAATCTGCCTCTAGGTAGAGCTAACCTTTCACCTCCTGCTTATGTGTTAATTCACTCTCTCAGCTCAAAGACTTGTCTAGGGGACCACCCCTAGGAAGATGGATTCAAGTAAAGATAAAAATAATATACTTTGCCTTCCCAGAATTCCCGCTCTTTAGTACAGCCCTTGTGAGCCATCCTGGATGGACTTGTCTACCTTTATTTCTGTGTTAATAGAAAGGCCTAATTATTCACCTTTCTTCTCTTGTATGTGAGCCAGAGCCTAAGTATGCCTTCTAACTACTTAATGCTTTAGGCCTTCTTACTCCTTTTCTACGAGGCCTTTTTTTTTCACCACGTGACTGACTACCGGCCACTGGGCAGCTAACGTCCACTTCCACGTCAGTGTATCCTCTCTCTTCTCCTCCTTCCGTTCTAGGAGCTGCTAGATATCTACCTTGTTTGCTCTGAGGTTTTTATTTTAAACTCTAATCAATTGTGTTTGCCCGTCCCTTTTATTCTATTTATTTTTTTCATTAAGGAGATCAAGAACCCCAGGAGGGAACCTTCCTTCCCCAGTACCAGATGTTACCACTGATAAGATACCCTGAGGTTTCGGGTTCTTTCCTAGTTTTGAATCCTTCAATCAGCCCAGAATACGAGTCACTCCTGCCTTTCTAGACAGACAGCACTGCACACAAAACTTGAGCCAGACAATTATTCCAGTCAAGCAATAGACCTCAAAAAGACCAGCTAATTTTGATACACCGAGACAGAAAGAGAAATGAAATAGGTGAAAATTTTGGTGTTTTACTATATGATGACAGATCTGTCTGTGCATATTGTAATTATTTCGCAAATATTTCCCCTTTTCCTTGCCTCTCCTCCACTCCTTTGCTAAGCCCCGATTATTCACCATTCTCAAAACAGAAGATACCTTCTCTCCATCCCCTAAGAAACCATTTAAGAATCTGGAGTTAAGAAGAAAAGCGGGAGTGGCGGATTTGGAAGGGGATGCTTTTGATCCACTTGTACCAAAATTGGTCTGCAGAAAGAAACGAGAAATAAACTAGTGTGTAAGTGTTGTAAACAGGCTCTTGGAGAATGCCAAGCTTAGGCACATCGGATTGGAGCCTCTCTGGACTGTGAAAGGCCATGCTTCCACAAAATCCACCTTTCTGCTGAGACCTGCTGAAGTGCATTTCTGATGCAGCAACTGGAAGATAAAAATACTGGTGCCATAGGGAAGATGGTATGGGAACAGAAGTCTGCCATCCGACCGCTCAACGGCATAGCCACAATACTCCATTTAATTGCTTCAATAAAACCACAAGTATTCCATAAGAGAGCACAGCATACTGTTATTTGAGGACCCGTCTATATAGCTGTGGCTGTTTTCATTCCTTATTTTAAGATAAAGAGTTCTCCGAGAAAATAGAGAAGAGGTCATAAGGCATGTTTATGTTTTTGCCTCTGTGTATGCCTGAAACCCCCACAGATGACGTCTAGAATCACAGAGCCCAGAGTCATAGATTGAGAATAGTTGCTACAGGACCTATTGGTTTTATAACACTTCTAACTTTTTACATTTATTTATTTGCCCCCCAACCCTGTGGTGTGTGTGTGTGTGTGTGTGTGTGTGTGTGTCTGTGTCTGTGTCTGTGTCTGTGTGTGTGGCATGGTACTAGTGTGGAAGTCAGAAGACTACTTGTGGGAGTTGATTCTCTCCTTCCATCATGTAAACTCTGGATATTGACCTCAGGCTTGGCAGCAAGCGCGTTTCTCCACTGAACCATCTGGCTTGCTTGCTTTTATACAATTTTAATGCAGGGAAATTTGACCATGATTAACACCACTAATGACATTAGAGGAGATATTATGCCTTCCTGGAAAACAGTAATGGATCACTTTTGACTGTGATTTGAGGAAATCACAACAGCAAATGAGTATCAGCTAATAAATCTCTTTGATTAAGCTGTACTTTCTTTTTCATCTTTACATGCCAGCGTGATATATTTTATATTTGGTATTTCCACCTATATAATTATTTGGTTGTTAAAGCAAAGGCATATTTAATTTGGAGTTCATAAACAAATATTGTTAATGAGGAGAAGGCTCCATTATTTGGACAAACAACAGGTTTGGCGTCAGTGGATACAATTCTGCGAACAAATGATGTTTATTTTGTAAGACCCTTGTGATTACTTTGCACTTCCCTGGTTTTGCTTCGTCTTTGTTAAAACTATAATTAAAAACACATCTGGGTAAAGGGGTTTCCTTCTTTCCCATTGGTCTGCTTTTCTGCCTGAAGCGTTCACTGTCGGCACAGTAAGATAACCACCACATCCTAATTTATCGGCTTGGGCCCCCCTGTGAGGAATGGAAATGCTTAAGTCTCCCAGAGTCAGATGGAACACTGGGCTCCAGTCGACAGTGAACAGCACACCACATGCTTTGTACTGAGACTTCTCCCCAGAGCAAATCACCTGCAGAGTTGAAGTGAGAACGTTAAGGTCTTGTGGTAGTCACCGTCTAGATTGTCATTTAAGAGAGCTGGGTGTGAGAAAATGGGGGAGGGGCTCTAAACTCGTACAACCGTGTGTATGGGAAAGGATTCCAATAAAAGGACGTGAATGACTGAAAGTTCAGTTCGGCAGAGTGACGGCGCCCAGCGTATTCAACTTCAAATGCCTTTCTATTAAACCAACCGAGGCGGTGTTTGCATAGCAGTGCTTGTTTAAAGAGACAGATTTAGGCAAGAGCCTAAATCTCATCCATTCATCCATCATTTAAAATATTTATCAAATAGAGATAGCTGATTACAGAAAGCCAAGGGCTAGAACATTCATCTTGATGTATAAAATATTCTGAGGCAGAACTCTGGACATGCATGGCTTACATCCAGGCTATTAGGCACAAACCCAGAAGGCCAGGCCAGGCTTGACATAGCCTGCATCCATTCATTCCCTATCTGGGTCCCAAGTTCTTAAATGAAGAAATGGGATTTTTTTTTCTTTTTTCTGATTCTAAAAGTTTTCAGTGGCGATTCCTGTATATCAGGAATATACCTAAAGTGTGTTCCTGAAGGTTTGAATGCTGCACCTGCATCTGAGAATACAGGTATCAATTAGTGATGTCTGCCATGTACAAAGTGGTATCAATTAGTGATGTCTGCTATGAACAAAGGCAGAGAGGATAACAGGAACACATTTTTTTTTCCTGAGCCTAGTGTAGATGACCTAGAATATTGATTTTTGTGACCTTTATTAAAGCAAGTTGGGTACTGAATAAAGTATGCTTCATAGATACAGTTCCTACTTTCTGGGAGCTCAGAGTTAAGATATTAAAGTATTAAATCAACAAATATTAAAAATATATGTATGCATATTAAGGATTCATGAGACACTAAACAAATTTTTGTGATATTAC